ATAGGATTTGCTTTAGAAAAATAATCCGGTAGGAAAGCAAATACAATCCTAAACCCCACATGTCAGTCACTTGGAGTTTTGGATAAAGTTTAGGAATAAAAATAATGGATTAGGAACAGTACCTTTTTACAATTTCTCGGATTTATTCAAATTTGAAACTTTAAACTAGCATAACTCTCTCATTTTAACTCGGATTAGAGTGAAACTTGAACCTAAATTTATCTAAATTCATAAGCTTTCCAATGGTATATAATCCACTATTTGATAAAATACATTTATAATTATTAAATAATTAATACTAAGATAATGCATAATAGTTAAAAATGTGCTAATAAATAAAATTGATATTGTACTGTAAAGTAGATGTCAAATAATTGCCCTTAACATGCTTCCTCACTGTAAAACCTATGTAAACTAATTAGGAGCATTGTTTCAAATTAATTAAAGCATAGGAAATACTAGTGCCACTTATTAATATATGTCAATATATAATTATACTCATGACGTCCAAATTGTATAAATAATGTTTAGCCTCATACTTTGTGACTAAAAGTTGAACACACGTAGATGAGTCTTTAACTTGTTTATGAGAGATAATAACAGAGCTAGTGTGACTAAAATCACCCGCATGAAATTAATTAACGGCATTTCCTATACAGTAGTATATGTTTAGGTTGGAAATCGACCCTTAAGTTGTATAGACGGTAACTCACTCATAAATCCACTTAAAATCACATGTACTGTGTAGCTCGTAGTAAATAGTAATTATTCAAATAAATGATTCAGTATTAAGATATTGTGCACACACCTATACTGTACATTCTATTATAGTTATACGGTATAGTATTAATTTGCTTGTTGCATACATTAAATTGGAGGGACTATATGACAGACATGAATATTAGATAAATACTAGTTATAAATCTTGATCTCATATAATTATAGTTCAATTGTAAATTAGGATTATTCATTGTAAAATTATGTGATGGGATAATCTGTAACCATAATATGATTAACCTAAACAACTCTAACATACAAAGCATGGATAATTATTAACCTTTTCTAATTTATTGTGACAAGTAAAATATTTTCATAATTAAAGCAAAGCCTCCATCAATAAAATAATAATACAAATGGTTCCCTGCGATTAATTGCTTGATCCCAAATCCATCTAACAACAGAACCTTTGGTATGTAACCGTGCTATTTAGATAGATGCATATATAGCCATAATCCTTCCATAGCCATTTGATAGAATAAATCGCCGATTAGCCAAATATATATGTATCCCATAAATGCTATGTTGGTTAACTCCTAAATAGACCACGATGACAATAGAAAGATTAAGAAGCCTTAGCCCTAGCATGATTGAAATCCATTAGCAAACACGAATAGTATGAGCAACCCCAGGATCGACCCCAACAATTATCTTTTGCTTGTGCATATTTGCTTGTTGTTTGAATATTGGTTTTTCTCGCGTATTATAGACCTTGTGTATCGGTTAGTCGTGAGGCAACGTCTGCAACTTCCAGGAGGTGAAGGTTGATCAAATTATCCTAAGCAGGCAAGTCATCACTATTCCTTGAACATGTTGGTCCCAATTGCGAAATTATTTTGTTTACAAATAAAATTACATGCAATGATGAACATCCTACTTGTGATTATGCCATGCCTTGATTATTGTTTACCCCTTATTCCTTCGTAACCATGTTTACGTATGAGTCCCTAGTCAATTATGACAATTGCTTAGAAATGCTATTCTAGAATCATGCATACTCATATTTATCAAATGCTATATGCTTGGGCAATTACCTTTGGGAAGGTAATTGAGATGCGGCATGTGGAGACATGAGCGCCACATTGCCATGAAATTGATGACATGATTTGTGAAAGGAAAATAAAGTGAAAACAACTGTTTTCGACTGGGGCGGACGGAGGATTTGGGTGGTATCTGGAAAAGGCTAGTACCGTCCCCGGTCAATTAAGGACCGAGCCATGAAGTTAAGCATGAAACGACCCCCATACAACCGCACTTCTCGTATGGGTATAGACCTAGCGGATTAGATAGCCGTGCGGAGGCAGTATCCCTGCATAGATGGTTCACCCCTGAGTGAGGCAGGTGCGCTACGGTGGGACAGCCGTTGAGGTAGGGCCGAGAAGCGTGCCCTACATCAGTGTCACCATTGGTAGGGCTGCCATGAGTGTGTGAGAGAGAAACTAACTTAATGAGAGTGTGAGACTTCTCTTTCCCGGGAGCGCCAGAACTCCTCTCACTGCTAGAAACATGGACGTCTAGAGTGCATGAGGATTTAAGTTCATGGAGCGGGTACTGCCAAGGCGAGGTTATCGAAAAGCTTTGCCGTGACGCGTCTCATGTGTTGGGACGAGGCTCATGTGTTGGGCAGTCGCGGAGTGCGGGTAAAGTGTACATCCACTGCAGTGTGAGTAAACTAAATCTATTCGAATAGCCGTGCTCGCGGTTATTGAGTACCGGGACGTGTATTACACTTGGCTAGACTCAAAATTCTTAACTTGTGTGGGATGGGATACTGCATGATGATTTTTATGCTGATGGAGCCACTTCCTAAGAGGAGGGAAGGTGGATGTCCTCAGAAAACCATGACGACTCAATGGCGGGAAGCTATCCTTGGGATCACAATGGATGGTGGACAGAACCGTCGTTGTTTAATGTGAACACTGGTATTAAAACTTAATCAGTCTATGCTAGGTCTTAGGCTTGTGAAAAGAATTGCAAAGCTTGCTTTACGCAAAAGAACCGGAGCCCTTCCTTGAAATACCCTCTATCATATGTATTGTTGTTGTGGTGGTTTGCTGAGTACGGTTGGTACTCACCCTTGCTATTTATATATCTTTTAGGAGAGTGTTGAAGAGAAGCCCTTGTCGGTATGCTTGCGTATCCAACAAGATGATCGGAGTGCGGTCTTGTTCTAGGTCTCGTTCCCTAGTCGACTGCCTGTGGCAAGTTAACCGGGCCTTTATATTATTTTGTCTTCCGCTGTTGTTCTCTGATAGTTGTTGGCCTACCTGGACCTAATGTAAGTATTTAACTCTTTTAGCCTGAATTCTTTCGTGATATGTTGTGATCCAACTATGTATGTGTGTACCAACTACTGATTTAGGGATTGATACGGATAAAGACAGAAGATTTCCGATTTCTAAAATCGGGGGTCTACATTTGCTTACTTCCATTCTAGAGGGCTGTTTTATGCAACTGTTGTATGGACGGTTTACATGAAGAGAAGTGCTACAACTATGCTGCTGCAGCGCTGCTGTTGTTTTAAGCTGACAGTGGTTCATTGCCCATTTATTCTTGATAAATACCAGTCTACCGAACAAGACATGGTCATGCTTCTGAAATATGTTTTTTTTTTTTGCGTGTGTTTGTGCAGCTAGTATGCTGCCATGCTATCATATAGAAAGAAACTAAAAGACACAACAAGGGTTGAGCAGAGTTCTGTCGATACCACAATCCTATTGTTGACAGTTGTAAGATCAAAGTGTGTTTTGATTCTTATTCTGTGATGAACAATTGGCATCTGTAATTATTGGTTTTGATATTTGGAGATTACTGTCGAAGTAGTTTTGGAGATAATTGATTTTCAGGTGATGAACAGGGTTTGCTGTTTTGTCGGGATCGGTCAGACCGGGCGGTGGTTGCCGGTCAGACCGGCTTGTGTTGAGCGGTCAGACCGGCCGGCCCGCGGTCTGACCGGCCGACGCTGTGTCGGTTTCGGTTTCGGGTTGTTTTCTTTGGATATCCGTGATTGTTTCATGGTTATGGCTTCTAGATAAATACTATACGTATGTAATACTGTTGTTTGCTACTAATGAGTTAAGTTGGGGATAGCTTGGTCTCGGAATATGGTTTCTTTGTTTGTTTCATGTGTAGGTGACTCGATGCCTCGGGAGAGTATTTGCGGTGATGGACCGGGAGTCGGCTTGGTGGTAAGACGATGTCCGTGGTGGTCAGATATCATGCGGAATACTAAGGCTAGAGTTGATGCACGTGGTTGATGGAGATTCTATATGGCATACGATGGAGGTATTGTGTGCGTATGGGATGCGGAGTCGAATTTGGAAGGAGTCCAAATTTAGTACGATTGGTTATGTAAAGTTTCTTTATTGTACTAGTGGGTTTCCTAAGGTGTTTAGGACTCCTAGTATGAGTTTGGTTCGTGGCTTTAGGCTGCCTACCTCATATATAAATAAAGGGGGAGCGTGAGGCTTCCCGGTATCGCTTTTGTATCGCTTTTGAGAGTAATTGAGTTGCTAGTTTAGTTAGGGTTTCGAGTTTAGTTGAGATTTTTGTAAGGAGTGCTGTTGGTGCACTTTGTAAACACAAAGAGAAGCAATAAAGTTGTCATCTAATTTAAGAGTTCTTCGATTTGCGTTTACCAGGTTTCGGCGGTCTAACCGGCAACTCACCGGCGGTCAAACTGGCGGCATTGCGGCTGTCAGACCGGCGGGAGCACGGCGGTCAGACCGGCGGCGGCGACAAGCGCGGCGAGCAGCTTCAGCGGTCAGACCGGTTGATCTATACCGGTCAGACCGACGGCATCCGAGCGGTCAGACCGGCAAGGTAACTTCGGTCAGACCAATCTCCATCGATTTCGAGGGTAACTTTTATTTCCGCTAAAAGTTTTCGGTTTTTGGGTATATCAACCATTCACCCCCCTCTGATTGGCTTAGTTCTTGTGATTCGATCCTACAACAGTCAATGTTAATTTAGGGACGGTTTGAGAGTAGAGGGTTAGGCTGAGTTCCTAATCAAATTACAAACACCTAAACAAACACTTGGGTGAAGGTAATCAGAGGAAGCAGCAATGACTAATGACTAATGTGGTCTCTAGCTCTGTTTCCCATTTTATGTGCTCAATAAAAACACATTTTGCTTATTTTCAGGCAGCCACCTGAGTTTGTTATCCTACTTCACCAAATCTTCACCTATTTTATAATTATTCTGCTGTTACTAGTTTGGTATTCCTTGCCAAAACTGCAATATCATATCTAGCTGAACTAGCTAGACTGTCACATGAAGTCGAGAACAAGTTACAATCGCAGAGCAGGTGAAGTACATGGTGAGTTTGAGTTTGGCAGAATGAGAAGGTGTACCAAACTGTATTCAATCATCCAAGGTTTGCATATCATCGACCGGCGGCGGATTCAGAGAGAGGTGGAGTCTAGAGCCAATCTGTAGGCTCCTGAATCATCATCCAACGCAATGGCCCATGGCCTCAATCCCTGTTTCTCGGTTACAAAGTTGTTGCATGATTGGTCCAATACTCCAATTCACAGAAACTCTGTAGTACATGCTCTTGGTCTGACCGGTGACCTCTGGTAGAATACTGTCAGTGCTCTCTCAAACACTGTCAAAACCATCGCCGACATCAAACGTTCAAATCAAGTATAAATTCACTACATTTGCATCATGCACATCCATGCGAATTTCCTGTTATTTGTAAGACAACACATCTTGATCAAATTCATATCCAAGGCTGAAGGCTCGATCTCCGGGCTAGTACCATCCCATGTTACGTACATCAGTTCTCAAAGGGATAAACCTTGATAGTGATGAGTTTGTAACACTAACACTACCTAGGATATTAAGAGATCCTGAACATTGAAAATAAATTAAGGTGGCGGCGATGCTGTGTTCGATTGAGCCTCTCGCTGTCTTTTCTTTTCCTTCCGATACTCGATGATCTTGGGCCATACTAAGCTGATAAAGAGGGTATAGGAGCCAAGGACCAAAAGCACAGGTAACATCCACCTGATGACAGTCCAATCACTCGAGATGGCCAAGACAAAGGTGCAACTGGTGCTAATGATCACCGTGAACAATATGGCATTCATGAGTCTCATGGAATGACTAGCCAAGGACCTCCCTACCGCCACCAGCGTGATCAGAAGCGCCAGGGCAATCGTGAAGGTCACCGTGTTGAACATGATATACCACCGTATCCCCCTCATTTGGCCCTCGGTGAGGGTGGTGGCGGCGTGTTGTTGAGGACTTATCGGGGAAGGAGCAGAGGCGACCGTGGCTCGGAATATTATACCGCTATGCTTCATGTTGTGGGAGCTAAACGCCTGAGGCCAGTCATCGGGGAACCAGGCAGGCAACTGTATCGCCGCCTGGAATGCCATGCCCACGAACAGCGTGGCCACCGCCATCAGCCACCCGCGCTTGTTGTTCAGGTACTCATTGTCTTCCTCGATGTTCTTCGCACCAAACCAAGGAATGTTTGAGAGAATTATATTTAAAAAAACATGAAATTTGGTATATATAGTACTTAATTATTTAAGTCATAGTATCACAAGACTACAAATTTAGTATTTGAGATAGATTAAGATGAAGATAAAGTTAGGGTACGCCAATCGAGAAAGCATTTAACGCTTGATTAATCGAGTTTTAATTATTATAAATTTAAAAAACAAATATATTTAATATTTTAAAGCAACTTTTATATAGAAAGTTTCGCACGAAGTATATCGTTTAGCAATTTGAAAAACGTGCTAACGAAAACCGAGGTAAAATCAGCATCTTAATTAGAAAATAACATACTTTAGAAATTGAGTGTCATGTTTTTTCCTTCACAAAACTACAGATGGATCATCGTTTTTTTTTTTACGCAAAACTACACATTTTAAAATTTTACAATGGTAAGAGGTGTAGGGATAGCACATCTAAAATTTGTTTTGAAAAAGACGATACTAAATCTATGCTTTGAGATACAATGATTTAAATGTAAAGCTTTATGATAAAATTATTTCTATATCTGTAGTTGTATGATACTATGGTTTAAATATGTAGTTTTGTGTTAATTTTATCAAAGTACTAGTTTAGTGAAATTTATTCTTTAATTCATTTTTATACTACTTCAAACTGAACACAATCTCAAACAAGTTTTTTTTTTCTCACGGCAGCCCTTGAAGAGCTGTAGGTAGGAAGATATCACAATTTCTAATTATATACAGGTAATTGAGTTTAAAAGAGGGCACTACCAACAAAAACAAGCCATCTATATCGACCATTGGTGACGACATCATAATTTTTAAACTATCACTGCTGACAAAGACTAAAACTTCCGCACATTCTCGAAACAAAAAAAAATTCTTGTCAACATTTTTTTTGAGGGAATCTTCTTAACATTTAGACCAATCAAGCAGAAAAAATGATACTACTAGATTGCAAACAGAACCTGAACATTTTCGCTAGGCTCGCTGCCGGCTGGTTCATGCGGCTGATCCATGGTCTGCCCGTGCGCGCTTGCTGCACTCCTCTACTCCCTAAATATCCGTGTATATTCAGAGTTTCAGATAGAAGCGCTAGCTGCAGTTGTTCTATCTTAATCAGGCTGCTGCCGCTGCTTATATAGACTAACCAAAGTTAATTAGATGCTTGGAGACCGTTCTCTTTGGACTGGAGCAAGGAATATTAATCAAACCGGTGTACTGGTAAGTACTACTATGATTCTTTGCTATATCATTAATCAATAACCCTCCTACCATTACCTTTTTCTCTGTTTTCTGAAATTTTTTTCTCCTCGGAATAGCTGCCACGTTGTCTTTATTGGTACAGAGCTCCTCGATTGGACAAGAAACTGGCAGCAAGCTAGTATATCAACGGTCATATCACTGTTTCCCTAAAGAAGTACTCCCTCCGTCCCATAATATAAGGGATTTTGAGTTTTTGCTTACAACATTTGACCACTCGTCTTATTAAAAATTTTTTGAAATTATTATTTATTTTATTTGTGACTTACTTTATTATCTACAGTACTTTAAGTACAACTTTTCGTTTTTTATATTTACAAAAAAAAATTGAATAAGACGAGTGGTCAAACGTTGCAAGCAAAAACTCAAAATCCCTTATATTATGGGACGGAGGGAGTAGTACTCCATGGTCCCAGTGAGGGCTTTTTCTCTGTTTTTTGAAAATTTTTTTGCTCCTTGAAATAGTTGCCACGTTGTCTTTATTGGTATAGAGCTCCTCGATTGGACCAGAGAAACTGGCAGCAAGCTGTATCAACGGTCATATCACTGTTTCCCTAAGACCCGGTTTAGATTATGGATTAATTAGGCTGTAGCGCATGTTGATTCGAGAGACTGTAATAAAGGTACATGGTTTAGAAAGGTACCATCCTTGTTCTATTGCTCATGCCGGCGGACGTGGCTGCAGAACGCGGTGTGGAGTTGGCTGTACGGGCCGCTTTGAAATGGAGGATTAGCAAAGAAATTTTAGAGGATTTATTTTCCTAAGAATTTTTTCTATAGAGCCCTTTAATTCATAGGAAGATGATAGGAAAACTTCCATAGGATTGCATTCATATGATCAATTCCATAGAAAAATAAACAAGAGGTTAGACCTCTTGTGAAACTTTCTTTTGTTGAGGGTATTCTGTGGTATAATCAAAGGGCTCTTCTCTTTATTTCGGGTGTTTTCAATTTCTGTAGGTATATTCAGAGTTTCAGACACAAGCGCTAGCTGCAGTTGTTCTATCTTAATTACAGCAAGGATAATAATACAGCAAGCTGCTTACTCGTAGTCTATCTATCAGCTTACTCATATAATAGTTAACTTTTCACTATAAATATATGGTCCACCTGTTTGTCTCATAGATTTTCTTGATTCTTGTGCCTAAGCCAGCTGTAAACTTACAGCCCGCTTCTCATCTCTCTCCTCTCCTCTCTCATCCACATCGGCATTCAGACTTCTTATAGCCCTCCATTCTTAGGCTGCTGCCGCTGCTTATATAGACTAACCAAAGTTAGGCTGTGTTTAGTCGGATCCAAAGTTTGGATTTTGGTTGAAATTGGAGATGATGTGACTGAAAAGTTGTGTGTATATGACATGTTGATGTGTTGGAAAAGGACTGAAGTTTGGATCCAAATTTTGAATCTAAACACACCTTAATTACTACCTCCGTCCCAAAATAAGTGCAGCCGTAGATATCTGTGCCCAACGTTTGACCGTCCGTCTTATTTGAAAAATTTGTAAAAATTTTGAAAATATTTAGTCACACATAAAATACTATTTATATTTTATCATCTAATAGCAATAAAAATACTAATCATTAAAAAATTTCAAATAAGACGAACGGTCAAACGTTGAATATGAATAGTGTAAAACTGCATTTATTATGGAACGGAGGGAGGAGATACTCGGAGACCGTTCGCTTTTGGACTGGAGCAAGGAATATTATAATCAAACCGGTGTACTGGTAAGTAGTACTAGTACTACTCTGTTTTTTGAAAAAAAAATTCTCCTCGGAATAGCTGTGCCACGTTGTTTTCATTACTCCCTCTGTTTTCTAATATAAAAAATTTTAATATTTTGTTTGCACAGTTTGACCAATTATCTTATTAAAAAAATTTAAAATTATTATTTATATTTTTTTATTTACTTTATTATCGAAAGCACTTTAAGCACAATTTGTCATTTTTTATATTTGTATAAACTTTTTAAATAAGATGAGTGGTGAAACAGTAGAAGGAAAATATCAAAATATCTTATATTATAAAACGAATTATTTATAAAATGAAGGGAGTATCAGAGCAAGTTCAATAGTATAGCCAACTACTAGCTCCAATTCATTTATAGCCAATCTAATAGCTCATTCATATAATAGTTATATACTACACTATTAATACCTGGTCCCACCTGTCATACACACTGTGTCTTGGAGTCCGTGCTGCAGCTGGCTATAAATTTATAGCCCGCTGCCCTTCTCTCTTCTTATTTACCTACTTAAAATATGTTTGCAGCTGGCTTATAGCCTATAGCTGCTCTTAGAGAGCTCCTCAATTTGACCACAGACTGGTACTCCAGTATCAAGCTGTACCAACGATCATATCACTGTTTTTTTTTCTCCTCGGAATAGCTCCCACGTTGTCTTTATTGGTACAGAGCTCTTCGATTGGACCCGAGAGACTGGCAGCAAGCTGTATCAACGGTCATAGTACTACAGTATTTACTGTCCTCTCGTGTACGGTCTATGCAACTGGTCACGGGCGGTCAGGGCATGCATGGATTGCCACGCACGTCCGTACAATTTCTTTAGAGCAAGGTCAATAGTTCAGACCACTACGAGCAAGTTTAATACTCCCTCTGTCCCATAATATAAGGGATTTTAAGTTTTTACTTACAACGTTTGGCCACTTGTCTTATTCAATTCTTTTTTGAATTATTATTTATTTTATTTGTGACTTACTTTATTATCTACAGTACTTTAAGCATAACTTTTCGTTTTTTATATTTGCGAAAAAATTTTAAATAAGACGAGTGGTCAAACGTTGCAAGTAAAAACTCAAAATCCCTTATACTATGGACGGAGGGAGTAGTATAGCTAAGAGCAAGTTTAATAGTAAAGCCAACTACCAGCTCCAATTCATCTATAGCCAATCTAATAGCTCATTCATACAATAGTTATATACTACTCTATTAATACCTGGTCCCACCTATCATACTCACACTGTGTCTTGGAGTCCGTGCTACAACTGGCTACAAATCTGTAGCCCGCTGCTCTTCTCTCTCCCTGTTTAACTTCTTAAAATATGGTTGCAGCCAGCTTATAGCCTGTTATTGTACATGCTCTAACTACTAGCTTGAATTTATCTATAGCCAATCTAATAGTTTATCCATACAATAGTTACATACTACACTATTAATACCTGGTCCCACCTGTCATACACACACTGCGTCTTGGAGTCTATGCTACAGCTGGCTACAAATCTGTACCCACTGCTTTTCTCTCTCCTTATTTATCTCCTCAAATTATGTTTGCAGCTGGCTTATAGCCTACTATTGTACCTGCTCTACTAACTCCAAATCATCTATAGCCAATGTAATAACCAATTTATATAATAGTTGCTTGTTATACTATTAATACCTGGTCCCACCTGTCATACACACATTACGTCTTGAAGTCTGTGTTGCAGCTGGCTACAGATATGTAGCCTGCTGCTCTTCTCTCTCTTCATTTATCTCTTTAAAATATGTTTATAGCTGGCTTATAGCCTGCTATTGTACCTGCTCTTAGAAAAGCCCTTAGATGCGTCAGAGTGGAGGTGTCCGGAGATCGAGGTGGCTGTTGGCTCTGAAGTGCGTGGGGTCACCGACTGTGGTGGTGTCGGTGAAGAACTCGTTGTTGCCGAAGTCGTAGCTCGAGAGTGTGTCGCTACTGGGGTCGGTGGAGGCTTGGGGACTGGGGTAGGCACCCTCGATGAAGAGGAGCTGCCTACTCCCCCAGCTCCCTCGAAGTGCACGTACTCGACAGTGAAGTCGTCGTACGTCGAATAGCTGTCGTCCACCGCCTTGTCTCATGCCCACCCTCACCCTTCGTCGAACACTACGTCGCGCGCCGTGCGCACATGCTGTGTCTCTAGGTCAAGAATGCGGTAGGCCTTCGAGCCCTCCGCGTAACCGATGAACACCCCTAGGGTGTTCCTGTCATTGAGCTTGCCAATGTAGCCGAGCTCCTTGGCGAACGCGAGGCAGTCGAAGACCCGTAGGTGGGGGACCGCCAGCTTGCGCCCATGCCAAGCCTCGTACGATGTCCTACCGTCGAGGGCCTTGGTAGGCGAGCGGTTGAGGATGTAGACAGCTGTCACCACCGCCTCCCCCCAGAAGATGGCCGGCATCCCCCTCTGCTTGAGGAGAGCCCGAGCCATCCCCACAACCGTCTGGTTGCGCTGCTCGACGACTCCGTTCTGCTGTATGCTGTACGGCGCACAGTAGTGGCGCTGAATGCCCTCATCAGCGTAGTATGACGAGAATTCAGCCGCCGTGAATTTACCGCCGTTGTCGGTGCACAGCACGCGCAATGTCACGCCTAGAAATTCCCGAATAGAATTTCAAGCAGAATGTGCATTAAAACCCCTATCCAGGACCGGCCAGGGTACACAAACGACAAAGTTGACATATATATCCACGTCTTACAAACATTAAAAAAGTCTTACATAAATGCAGCGAAAAATAAAAGATAACTGGAGCTAAGCCTTGACTTGGATTGCGGCAGGAACACCACTCCACAGGCATCCTCGACGGCACGGACGAAGCCTATTCGGAGAAACCACCATCGGACTGTAACGCCCCGATTTTCGTTCGGGAATAAAAATCAATTAATAATACATTTTCTAGAAATTAAATAAAACTTAAATCAATTTAATCAAGTAAAATAATGGGAGAATTAAAATTTTCCCTTAAAAATCATTGGCCGGGAATATTTTGTAATATTCTTTGCGCCCTAATGTACTCTCCGGAATTTTCCGTGAATTTTCGGAGCTCGAGAAATAGTTTCAATAACACAAAGATCATTGCATCAATTAAAATAAAAAGAAAACAAATAAAATTTCCCC